AGCACTCCACGCCAGCATACTAATCCAGGACTCAGCTCCTTCCCCCTCCATCTCCCAAACCCCTGCCTGAGGTCAGGCACGTGGGGGAAAGCCCCAGGCTCGCTCTACCTTCCTGGGCATGAGTCCTGGGATGAGGTCTCTGCACACCCCTGCTGGTGCCATCCCCCAGTCCCCCTGCAGGCCCACACTCCTAGTCCCCTAGGAGCCCACCCTACCACATGGCAACAGGGTGGAGATAGTTAGCCCACTGTGCAGTGGCCCGGTGGAGGCTGCTTCATATACTTGTTTATTTATGAAAATTTATTTATTCCTTTTGACTTGACTTACTTGAAAGGCATAGAGAGAAAATGAGAGCGATTTCTCATCTACTGCTTCATTACTAACAGCTGGGACTGAGCCAGGTCAAAGCTAGGAGCTGGAACTCATTAAGGACTTGAGCTGTCATCTGTTGACTCCCAGTGTGTGTATGTTAATAGGAAGCTGGATGGGAAGTGGAGCTGGGATCCAGCCAGGCACTCTAGTTTTTTAACTGTTGCATCCACTATTAGCCCCTATGTGTTTCCAATTAAAAAAAAATCAGTTTCAATAAGAGGAGTTGGCACAGGGGCTCAACAAGCTAATCCTCTATCAGCAAGTGCTGGCATCTGTTACGGACACTAGCTCATATCCCAGTTGTTCAATGTTTTTAAAGATTTTTTTTTATTGGAAAAGGCAGATTTATAGAGACAGAGATTTGCAGAGAGAGAGAGAGAGAGAGATCTTTTGTCACTCTCCAAGTGACCACAATGTCTGGAGCTGAGCTGATCTGAAACCAGAAGCCAGGAGCCAGGAGCCAGGAGCCAGGAGCTTCTTCTTAGTCCCCCATACATGTGAAGGATCCCAAGGCTTTGGGCCATCCTCTACTGCTTTCTCAGGCCACAAACACAGAGATGGGATACAAACCAGCACCCATATGGGGTCTTGGCACATGCAAGGAGAGGATTTAGGCACTAGGCTCTTTCACCAGACCCACAGCTGCTCCACTTCTAATCCAGCTCTTACTTATGGCCTGGGAAAGCAGCACAGGATGGCTCAAGCCCTTGGGCCTCTGTACCCACATGGGAGACCCAGAAAAAGCACCTGGCTCCTGGTTTTGAATCGTCTCAGCTCTGGCTGTTGCAGCCATTTGAGGGAGTAAACCACTGAATGGAAGAGCTCTCTGGCACTCCTCTCTGTACATCTACCTTTCATTTAAAAGTAAATAATTTTTTTAAAAGAATTTTTAAAAAAAGAAGCAAGACTGGAGCAAAGACAGTCCTGTCTGGGAGTTTTCCCCACACTGAAGTGAGGGCAGAAGGACAGGGCAGTGAAAACTACTTGGAGGGTGGAAATATCCCCGGTTAGCAACTGCCCAAGACCTGGTGATTACCCACCTGCTGCCCCACCAGGAACTCCCCTTCCCTTTCTTTGGAAGCCACTGCCTCGCTGTTGCTTGCACGCCTTGCCCTTCTCTCCCCCAGGCTGAGAAAGACCAAGGGTAGTCGTGGGGGGCAGAGGACCTTGGGCCACAAGCAGGGTTTGCCCTCCTTTCAGCCCTGGAGAGGTAATGGGGATGGGGCATTGCTGCCAGGACAGCAGGAGGTGCTTGGGGCTCCGTCAAGTTCCTGGGGACCTAGGTTTACTCCAGAGGAAGCTCCCGAGCCCATACATGGAGGGGCCTCACCCTTGAAGGGCCCCAGTTAGAAAACCCCAAATTTGGATCAAGGGCCACCAGCCCAGTTCTGTCACTCGTGGTGCTCCTGTGCCTGTTCGCATTCCACAGCATGACTCCCCTTTTAAAAACCGCTGCCCTTGTCCTCAGTGTTCAGTGCTGCTACATTTGGAAATTCAGGAATGTCGCTGGGTTTCAGAGGCCACCAGCACATCCACCACCTAGCTGCAGCCTCAGTCTCTCCACTTCCTCTCTCTGTGAAACACACACAAATATGTATGCACACACAGTCATCTCTACACACACACATACACACACTATGTACATAAGCATACATGCATGCATATGAGGGCTTCAGAAAGTTTATGAAAATGGAACTAAAAGATATATTAATTTTGATGCAACTTAAAAAAAAAAAGATTTATTTGGGTCCGGCATGGTAGCCTAGTTGTAGCCTTGCACGCTCTGAGATCCCATATGGGCACCAGCTCTAATCTGGATGGTAAGTGGCCCCACTTCCCATCCAGCTCCCTGCTTGTGGCCTGGGAAACTAGTTGAGGACGGCCCAAAGCTTTGGGACCCTGCACTGTGTGGGAGATCCAGAAGAAGCTCCTGGCTCCTGGCTTAGGATCAGCTCAGCTCTAGCCATTGTGGCCACTTGGGGAGTAAATTAGCGAATGGAAGATTTTCCTTTCTATCTTTTCCTGTCTCTGTACATCTGTCTTTCCAATAAAAAATTTAAAAAATTTTTTAGATTTATTTATTTTTATTGCAAAGTCAGGTATATATAGAGAGGAGGAGAAACAGAGGAAGATCTTCCATCCGATAATTCACTCCCCAAGTGAGTGCAATGGCTGGTGCTGAGCCGATCTGAAACCAGGAGCCAGGAGTCTTTTCCAGGTATCCCATGCGGGTGCAGGGTCCCAAAGCTTTGGACTGCTTTCCCAGGCCATAAGCAGGGAGCTGGATGGGAAGTGGAGCTGCCGGGATTAGAACCGGCAACCATTTCGGATCCTGGCACGTTCAAGGAGAGGACTTTAGCTGCTAGGCCATGGCACCGGGCCCTAAAAAATCTTTTCAAAAGGATTTATTTATTTCACTTGAAAGAGTTACAGAGAGAAAGAGAGAGAGAGAGGAAGGCATATATAGAGAGGTTTTTCATCTACTGATTCACTCCCCAAAAGGTCACACACACACACACACACACACACACGCACACACAAGCCAGGGTTGAGCTGATGGGAAGTGTAGAACTTGAATTTCTTCTGGGTCTCCCTTGTGGATGTAGAGTCCCAAAAACTTGAACCATTTTCTGCAGTGTGCCCCAGGCCAGAAGCAGCGAACTAGATTGAGAGTGGAGCAGGAGGGACATGAACTGGTACCTATACGGGATGCTAACACCACAAGCTAGTCTGTTATGGTATGGTGCCAGTCCCTTTGGTGCGATTTTTTAAAGTTTTTTTTTTTAAAGATCTGTTTATTTTTATTGAAAGTTAGATCCACAGAGAAGAAAATCCATCCACTGATTCACCCCTCCAAATGGCTACAACGGCTGGAGCTGAGTTGATCCGAGGATACTGAGGCTTGGGGAAGCAGAGACCTGCTCTAGCTTACACAGCCACACGGTAGGCCAGCCAGGCCTGGGACTCAGAATTCCTGGTTCCATTTGCAAAGGACAATCTGCCTAACAATTCATTCATTCAACAAACATATATTGAACCCTGTGGTAGACAGAATTGTGGCCTGGCAAAAGCACACATCCTCCACCCCCCAAATCTGTGGGTATGCTTCTTTCTAAGAGGGAGAGAGAGAGAGAGAGAGACTGATTCACGGACAAATTCCTGGAGTATCTGGTTGTATCCAGTGTGTTCTCAGGGCCCTTGTAGGTGGAGGCAGTGATCAGAGTGACGAGAGGAACGAGAATGGGATGTGGCATGTGGCACAGTGAGTTAAGCCACTGCCTTTAATCTCAACACTCCATATCCAAATGTTGGTTCAAGTCCTGACTACATTGCTTCAGATCCAGCTCCTTGCTCAGGAATTTAGGCCCCTGCCACCCACACGGAAACCCAGTTGGAGTCCCAAGCTCCTGGCTTCGGCCTGGCAAAGCTGTGGCTGCTGTAGCCATCTGGGGAGTGAATTAGCAGGTGGAATATCTCTCTCTCTCTCTCTCTCTCTCTGTGTAACTCTGATTTTAAAATATATTTATATATATATTTTTTTTTTGAGAGAGAGAAGACGCTGGGGTGGGTTTGGATGCTCTCCTTCCTGGGAGCTGACAGGGACTGCTCAGAGCCATCACATGCAAGGTCATTCAGATGCCGTGACGTGCTGAGGGCTGACCTTCCTGTGGGCTTGACATGTCAGAAAGTCCTTGACGCACAAATAGCCGCTGAGGTAGAGAAGTGGAAAGTGACATTCATGGGCCTGGCCGGGCCCCAGACCTTGCTGAGGAAGCGTGAGGAATATGTTGGGGTTCCTCATGTGAGGGAGGCCCCCGGGAAGCACACGTCTGGGAAGTGGACCTTGGTGGCCACAGCAAGGGGCGTGGACTTGACCTTGGGTCTGTGGTTGGCGGGGGAGGGGTGCCAAGGGACACCTGTAGCCAGGTCAAGGTGGGCTGCTGGAGTCTGGGCAGCTGACTCTGCCTGCTGCCCTACGCCAAGGTGACCCCTGGCTGTGAGCCTGAGGGAAGTGGCCTATGCTAGGCATGAACAGTAGCATGGGGACAAGGGGACAGACCTCAAGGAAGTGGGGACACGGGGACAGCTGGAGGTGGGAAGGAGAAGAAGCAAACTGCTGGGCTCTCCCAAAACCCAGGGAAGCCCAGGGAGGGGCAGGCTGTTCCTTTGAAATGAAATTGAGTTCAGGGATGCTGGCCCTGTAGGCTCCAGGTCAGGCCCTGGTTTCCAGATGAGGCGGCGCCATCTTCTCTTTGAAGACAAACAGTTAGGATCATGGGGGTAACCTTGCTGGGGAAACAGACAACCAGGGCGATCCAAGTCACGGCCACGTTGTGAGCAGACCCCCGAGGAGTGCAGCATCCAGGAGGCCCGGCCCAAGGGGGATTTTTGCAGTCTCTGGAGACCTAGAAACAGGCTGGGGTGGGGGTCCCCTCCAGTGCTTCCCCGCTGTCTCCGGGAGGAAGTGAGGAGTTCTCCTTTCGTGATGTGAATGTCACAGCCTCTAGGGAACGAATGACTAAGAGAGGTCTGAGCCTGGTGGGAGAGTGGGTGGAGCACACTTAAATACTGGACCTTTCTGATCTCAGGCCACTGCAGACACCTGGCTGGGACCCACAGTACAGAACATGGCAAGCCTGCAAGCCTCGTTCCTGGCTGCCTTCATCCTCCTTGCCATGATACTCCAAGCTGTGGAGGCAGGTAAGATTGAGGACTGAGAGGAATTGGAAGGAAGGAGGCCTATCTTGAACTCTTGTGGTCTCCTTGGGCCAGGGGTACTGCTCCAGGCCTCAACTTACACATCTGCTAAATGGGTACTTAAGAAAGCTCTGCCTTAGCTGGGTTGGGAGGTTCTGGCAGGTGTGGTCTGAGCATCCCAGGGCTCTTGGAATGTGCTGTGGTCAGGCTCAAGAGGAGAAAGAGGGAAGAGGATGGGCTTTTCCTTGGAGTGCTGGTCCTGCCTTCCCACTCACTGGTTTTGCTTAGCATCGCCACCCAGTCCTACCTCCTCCTTCTCATGCCTCTGTGGCCAGTTGTGCTCTGTGCTGGTAGCAGAATGAGCACTGGAGAAGGAGTCAATGGCCGTGTACAGCAACAGCCCTCATGGATGAGGGTCTCCTGGGAGCGCCCCACATGCTGCAGACCTCGTGGAGCCAGTGCTGCTTCACTCGGGGGGTTGGGGAGAATTGATGGTGAGCAGGACCCCAGCCCATGGCTGTGGTACTATCCTGTGTTTGAATCCTTATTCCAACTCCATGGGGTTTGCTGAGTGACCGCAGGAAAGTGCTCCCTGACTCTGGGCCGCAGTCTCAACAGTGGGTGACGAAGCGGTGAGCCGAGGCTAACAAAGCAGGAATGGTAGGGGTCACAGAAATCACCCAAAATCTTGTTAAAACGCACCTTGGATTCCACAGGGCTAGACTGGCTTGGGTGTTTCCAAAGCTGGTACTGTACCCACCCTGGGACCCCACTGTGCCCTGGAGAAGCTCAGGGATAGTATCAATGCCTCCCCGAAGAGCCAGCCTCCCCAGTTGCCCTTAACACAGGGACTTTGGAGGAGACCCAGAAGATTCTGGACCCAGACCTTGCACACCAAAATGGAGCAGCCGTGTCTCTTGCCCTGGAACCTGCACTCTGGGGCTGCGGTCCAGGCTGAGCATCTGTGTCTCCCCAGGTCCCTATGGTGCCAACGTGGAGGACAGCATCTGCTGCCAGGGCTATATGCGCCGGCCTCTACATCAGCGCGTGGTCAGGAATTTTTATTGGACTTCTAACTCCTGCCGGAAGCCTGGCGTGGTGTGAGTATGGGGGCGCTGAGGCTACAGGGACTGTGTGTGTTGTGGCAGGGCTGAAGGGCTGGGGGTGGGGCTAGGGTGGTGATCCACATGCAGTAAGTGATGGGAGAAATGCAGCTGGGCCTCCTCGTGCCAGCTGGAAGAAGTTGACTGGAAGTGATAGCTCAGCCCAGCCATGGATGTACTAGAACAAAGATAATGAGCTCAACAGCTATTTGCTACATGCCAGGGTGGGAATGAATAGCAGAGGCCTGGCATTTTGGACAGCATCAGACTCTAAGATACAGGATCCAGTACATGGGACATGCTTGGTGCGTGGGCTCAGCAGACACTCCCACAGGAAGTATTTCGGGTCCTTCCCATGTTCCTGGAGCTGATTGGTGAGAGCTGAAACATGTGCCAACATGTACACCCAGCTATGTGGATTCATGGGCTCCTCAGGGCAGTCCCACAACAGGCTCCGTCACTCCGATTTTATTAATAGAGATACAGGGGCTTCATGGAGAAGAGGGATTTGCCCAAGGGTGTCTGGGCAGAGCCGGATCTTCTGGCCTCTCCACCAAGGCTCTTTTGTTCCTATCAGTCTTCTTCTCTGCCTCTCGGCTTCTTGCACTTGACCTGGGGCTATGCCTGCACCTGCCTCTCTGAGTCACACCCTGAAGTGCTGGGGCTGGTCCGGGGGTCGGGTTTGGGAGCTCTTGATCCTCCTTGGGGCTCCATGTCATCTGCTCTGGTCTTGCTCTCCTTGCCCACACTGGTGACTCCATCTCTCAGAAGGTGTGCAGGTGAATGATGGAGAAGACTGAAGCATGAGGCAATGCAGGTTCTGGTCCCTTAAGCTCCGTGCCTCAGTTTCCCATCAGCACAGCTTTTGTGAGTTTAACCATTGTGCTGAGCATGCTTGCAAAGGGCCTGGTGCTGTCATAAGCAGCTTATAAATATGGATTCATTAACCTTAAAAAGAGCACCATGGAATGTGTGCTATTCCTGCATCCATTCCCCAGGCAAGGAAAAAGGTGCTGAGGGGGTGGTAGTAAAGAGCAGGCGTAAAGTTCAAGGCCTGGGCACACAGTAAGTGCTCAGCCAAAGAGAGCACACACAGGTCATTGGGCTGGAGCCAAAAGGGATGCTAGGAAGGATGTGGGCTCACAAACAGGGAGATGCAGGCTTAGGAAGAGGCCTAGTCTTACTTAGGGTCTACAGTGGGTAGTCCCACTACCTACACAGTCAAAGTCAGCACTGCTGCCATTCTGTTTGTCAGTTCTGTGGGTGGGAGCCAGGACAAGGGTTAGGAGAATGAGTGTCTCCTGGGCCTTGTGTCAGGGAGTGAGTCCCTGTGCAGGGATACAGCTCCAGCCACCGGCCAGTTCCTAGTCCACCTTTGCCAAGGATGGTACAAGGCTGGGCCCAGTGTTGGTGCTATGCAAACTTGGGCCAGTGTCTCCTTCCTGCCTGCCCCCTCTTGTGCTTCAGGCCTTTCAGGAGGCATGGAAGGGGGGTGTGGCCATTGTCCAAAGGCCCTGTCCCCCAGGGTCTGACTTCCCGGCGAACACTAATAGAGTCGTCTCTCACCAGTTTTAGCACGTGGGAAACCCTCTTTGGGCCTCATTCTCTTTAGCTATATAATGGGCAAATTCATAGGACCTTCCTTGGAGGGTTGTTATAAGAATTTACACCAATGCAAACACTTCAGGTCAACTCAGCACAATTATGTGGCACCTGCCTTGTGCTTGCCTGTGGGCTTGAATTTGTCTGAACTCACCACAATCCTGTGCAACTCAAATGGGGATTATCATGTGACAGGTGGGAAACTGAGGCTCAGAGAGGATCAGTGACTTGCTAGCAAATGAGCTAGAATGTGAGTCTGAACACCACAGCCTGCACCTCCACCCCATCCTTCTTCCTAAGACAGTGTCAGTGACACCATGAGCCTCTAGGGGCTGCTACCTCATGGGCTGGCCAGGCTTTCTCTTTCTTTCTTTCTTTTTCTTCCTTTCTTTCTTTCTTTCTTTCTTTCTTTCTTTCTTTCTTTCTTTCTTTCTTTCTTTCTTTCTTTCTTTCTTTCTTTCTTTCTTTCTTTCTCTTTTTCTTTCTTTCTTTCTCTTTTTCTTTCTCTTTCTTTCTTTCTAGATTTATTTATTTTTATTACAAAGTCAGATATACAGAGAGGAGGAGAAATAGAGAGGAAGATCTTCCATTCGATGATTCATTCCCCAAGTGAATGCAATGGCTGGTGCTGTGCCAATCTGGAGCCAGGAGCCAGGAACTTCCTCCAGGTCTCCCACACTGGTGCATCGTGCCAAGGCTTTGGGCTGTCCTTGACTGCTTTCCCAGGCCACAAGCAGGGAGCTGGATGGGAAGCAGAGCTACTGGGATTAGAGTTGGCGCCATATGGGATCCCAGGCACGTTCAAGGAGAGGACTTTAGCTGCTAGGCCATGCTGCCTGGCCAGGCTTCCAAGGCTGTGGCTGCCCATCTCCCTTTTGCAACAGGTGCGCTGCATGCAGTAGGTGGCTCACACGTTTGCATTACTCTGGTAAATGGGCATGCCCACGCAGAGCAGGTGACACATCAGAGCAGACCATGCATACAAAAGGTGGCTCATAACCGCTAGGTTCAGGAGGAAAGGGAGTGGTGTCTTGACTTCGCTGTCGCCCTGTCCTCTTTCCAGGTTGGTGACCAACAGACACCTAGAGATCTGTGCTGACCCCGATGCGCCCTGGGTGAAGAAGATCCTCCTGAGGCTCAAAAAATGAAAAGGGGTCCTCTGATCCAGGCCTGGACATCTCCGGGGAAGCTCTAGAAACCCTGCCTTTGCCCTGTCACAGCTGTTGTCGCATGGAAGCTGATGACTCTACAGCCCCATCCCTGTTGCTGTATCTCTCCTTCAGGCTCGCTGACACTCCCATCTCACCCCTGACCCATCCTCCACCCCAGTGCAGCTGCAGGGTCTCCATCCTACCCAGTCACTCCCCTACTCCAAACCCCTCCATAGCTCCCCTGTGCTCTAAGCTGGGGCCAGAGCTTCAGGTGCTGGGCATAGGGTTCCACCCCTGCCTGCAGCCTCGCTCCCCCAGCCCAACTCCCTGGTCTCCAAGCCTAGCCCTAACATGTCTACATCAGGTCTTTTCTCCATGGTTGCTGCTACCTGGAACACCCTGCTGTCACCTGCCTGTGTCCAGCCCCACTCCCTTCCCCTCACAGGCAATGTTTAGTCCACACCACCTGCTGCCAGGTTTCCCCCTGCCCTCTGCTCTTGTTTCACACTGCTGGGCTCAATCAGCCCAGACCCCCTAGAGCTGGGACCTTGTGTTCCAGCCTGACAGGTTGGCCCAAGGTCTACAATGAGTTAGTCTGCTTTCCTGGCCTGCAGCATAGAGCATGAAGCGCAAGGTCTGGTTTAGAACCAGCACCCAGTGAGGGAGTGCAAGCTGAAGCAATGAAAGTAACCTTCCCTAACACCCCTGCAAGGAAGCTGCTGCCTGTCAGTTCCCACAGTCACAGGAAGGGACTGGCTGGATCCGTCATGATGCTCCAAGCTTGTCCAGAGTTTCCATCATTCCTCACTGGCCCAACTTGTTGAATCTCTGTCATTATCCTTCCCTTTAGCTTTTAGTGCTCCTCTAACCCCCAACACCTGGATCAGACCTCTACTTTCCCTTTCTCCTTCCCCAAGTAGCTGGTGATCCAATTCATGCTAGAGTGTGAATGACTACCTGTGCATTGGTATTATAAGCTATAGGTGTATTTGTATACTGCTAAAGGGTACATACCTAAGAGGACAAGTGGATGAATGGGAGAACATTAGGAACTGTACGAGAGGGGAGCAAGTGGAACTTTCCTGGCTCCGGAGGCAGCTGGCTGGGGTGTGCATGGCCTTCTAGAGTCCAAGGCCAGCTACCTGCTGGAGATGACCCATGCTGACCTGCCCGTTGCTCATGAACACAGCCCAGGGTCCACCCCCTTCTGCCTTGTCCTTGGCTCTCAGGCCTTCTGGCAAATAAATCCTCTACAACCGTGTCTACTTTGGTTGCCTCACATTTGTTATTTTGTTTATTTCCTTATTTAAAAGACAGAGAGAGAGAATGAGAGCAAGAGTGAAAGTGAGAATCACGGTGAGAGTGAGCCTCCATCTTCTAACTCACTCCCCTGAGTCCCCACAGCAGTCAGGGCTGTGCTGGGGTGCAAGCTGGGAGCCAGGAACTCAACCCAGGTCTGCACCATGAGTGGCAAGACCAAAGCCAAAGACCCCCAGCTCCTGGGCCATCTGCTGCTGCCTCCAGGGTCTGCACCTGCAGGAAGCTGGAGCCAGGGATGAAGTCCAGGAGCTCCATCCAGTGTGGGATGTGAGCACCTTAACCCCTAGGCCGGAGGCCCCCAAAGTTCCTTGGCATTTGCTGTTTCCAAGAGGTGGGCTAAGGGGTTCTCTTGGTCTATTCTCATTTCCATAATGAACTCCCTGAGGTTGGGTCCTTTTATAGAGAAAAGAGATCCATTCAGTTCACTGTTTAGGAGGCTAAAAGTCTCACCCACCCGTGGCAGCAACTCTGGCGAGGGTCCCCTGCCTGCATTGCATCCCAACCCTTCAGAGGATCTTAGAAGAATGGAATTAGAAGATGTGTTTTTCCCATGATGCTTTTCTATTTAAAAACTTATTTTTTTCAATTTCTAAGTTTTTAAATTTATTTATAGATTTGACAGGAAGAGTGAACTGGGGTAGTCAAGGGGAAAGAGATTGATTTAACCCTCTGGTTCAATCTCCTAAATGACCTAAGTAGGTAGGGCTGATTCAGGCCTAAGTCAGGGGCCTAGAACTCTGTCCTCATCTCCCATAAGAGCGGCAGGGGCCCAAGCAATTTAGCCATCTTCCACTGCCTTCCCAGCATCAGCAGGGAACTGGATCAGAAGTAGAGCAGGTAAGACTCAACTGGTGCTTCGTCATGAAATACTGGCATTGCATGTGGTAGCTTAACTTGTTGCATCATAATGCTGACACTTGAATGCTTTTATTTTTAAGATTTATTTACTTTTACTGGAAAGTGAGATAAACAGAGAGGAGGAGAGACATGGAGGAAGGTCTTCTGTCTGCTGATTCACTCTCCAAGTGGCTACAATGGCCAGAGCTGAGCCAATCCAAAGCCAGGAGCCAGGAGTTTCTTCTGGGTCTCACACACAGGTGCAGGGTCCAAAAGCCTTGGGCCATCCTTGACTGCTTTCCCAAGCCACAAACAGGGAGCTGGATGGGAAGCAGGGCTGCCAGGACACGAACCGGCTCCCATATGGGGTCCTGGTGCTTGCAAAGAGAGGACTTTCAGCTGTTAGGCTACCATGCTGGGCCCCCTTTTTTAATTACAAAAATCAGAGAGATAAAAGGTAGAGTGCTGGCTGTCAGGGATGGAGCAGAGGGGAGAAGGAAGTCACTGTTGAACGGGTAAAGAGTTCTGATCTTGCAAGGTGAACAAGTTGTGCCGATGGACAATGGGGAGCATCACGCAAAGCAGCGTGAATGAGCCAGTGCTGCCAAGCTGCACACCTAAACTGGCTGAAGCAGTAACTTTTGTGTTATATAGATTTTTACACTTGATCTTAGCCAAAAGGCTGAGAAGTGATGTGTAATGTAGGCTTTTTTTTTTAAAAAAAAAACCCACAATTTTAAAAAAAAGGGGGAGTTTGGCCAAATGTGGAACAAACAAAATGCTGAAGTTGCATGAGTAGTCCTCCCCATTGGCCGGAGAAGTGGAATAGGCAAGGCAGGGACCAAATTAGTTGAGGGCTTCCTCCAGGGCCACAAGAACGGTCATAGGGCTGCCTCACAGCTTGCCCCGTCCCTACACACCATCCTGGGACCTCAGGGGAGTGTCCCAGCCTCCCCAACCTCCTCTCCACAGCTCTGTGTGTGTGTGTGTGTGTGTGTGTGTGTGTGTGTGTGTGTGTGTGTGTGTGTGTTCTGTTTCTGGGGCTGGGAGAGTATCTCCTATGTCATATGAACAATTTCCTCCCTGATCCTCCAACCCCTTTGCTCCTGGGCCAGCAGTGGCATCACTGCCACTCCATCCTTGCTCCCCAGCCCTAGCCAGTCCCCAGGGACCAGAGAGGTTGCGTACTTTCTGCCTTGGTGGGACTTGCCCCAATACCTGGAATGCAGTGTGCACATGCAGCATGCACATGCAGGGTGCCAAAGAGAGCAACACAGCGGCCATCACCAGCACTTCATGCATCCTGAAAGGTCGTAGTCTAAGCAGAGCCTAGCCACACACACTCCAAGTGCAGTGTGATTCAGAACAGATTCTTGCCAAGACTAACCAATCTGATTCTGATCAAGCCTTCCTGTTTTACCGGAAATAGGTCAGGGAAGAGAAATAAATTAGATGACATCTCAAGGAAATAAGATAAATTAAAAACAAGAACATCGAAGAGTATAAGATGATGATCTTCTGAAAAAAAAAAAAATATTTGAAAGGCAGAGTGACAGAGAGAGACAGAAAAAGAGGTTTTCCATCTGCTAGTTCACTTCCAATTTGACCCCAGAAACCAGGTGCCTGAAATTTCTTTTGGGTCTCCCACATGGGTGGCAGAGAACCTTATACTTGTGCCATCTGCTGCCTTCCCAGGTGTATTAGCAGGGAGCTGGATGGGAGTGAGTGCCCCTGCATGGAATGCTGGCGTCACAAGTGGGAGTAAAACATGCTGCACCACAAGAAAATGGTGTTGATGCTTCAAAAAGCCAGTGTCATCAAAACACATACAGAGAGTCTTTGGAGAAGTGAAACAAAAACCATGCGGGACGCCTGAGTCTACACTGGATCCTGGTTTCAAAAAGAAAAGAAAAAGGGAAAAAGAGAATGGAAGGAATAAAAGGAGGTAGTGAGGGAAGGAAGGCAGGAGAATAAATCCAGGCTCCTGGCTGCTGACAGTTTCAGAACTTGGGCGTGGCTTGGTGTCCCTACACACAAGAGTGTAAGAGGGTGTTGGCTTCTGGGATTTTTTGCACCATGGACGTGAGTGCCGTGAGTACCGTGGGGACAGCACGTGCAACAGGGCAAGTGCGAGCACGTATTCCTATCCTCACTTTGCCAAGGAGGAAGCGAAATCTCAGAGAGGTGGAGAGAAGCTGCCACGGATCCCACAAAAGTTGTGCCAGAGCTCCGGCGCTGCCTCACCCCCAAACCCTCAACACTTCTTGCAGGTGCTGTCTGGGTTGGAAAGGGGTCTCTACTTCCACCTGCTGGCCCTTCCCGAAGGGTGAGGCTTCCCAGTTCTGCCTCCTCCTCTTCTCTTCCTTTCCCCTCTCCAGACTCTCCCATCTGCAACTTCCCTTCTTGTTCTCTTCATCCTCTCTTCTTCCTCTCCCTCGTCGTGTTCCTTCTCCCTCTTCTGCTCTTACACAAGCAGGGCAGAGAAAGCCCTGGACTTCTGGGGTTCTCTCTGAACCTCAGTTTCCCCAGTTCTAAAACACAATGCAGGACAATGGAGATAGGAAAACTCCTGCCTTTGCAGCTGCACACTTTAGGAGGAAGGGAGCCGCTGGCCCATGCCCAGCTGCTCCTCCTCTCACAGGCATGTCCACACCTCAGGTGGCCCACCTGTTCTTGGAGCAGGGGGGGCAGGTAACTGAAGAGCCACAGTTTCCCTGGCCTTGAGAACTAGGTGGCTTCTTTGCCCAGCCCCACCTGGTACAGCTAGCTCTATAGTCCGGGACATGGGCACATGAACGGGTTTTCCTGTTGGCTGGCTGCCCAGTGACACCTAACCCAGTGCAGCCAGTTCCTGGCTCTTTCACTGGAGTCTGGGGAACTGTGGCCACTGCCTTCAGAACCGACTGTGCTCCTGACACCAGCCCCCAGCCTGTATTTGTCTGGGCCAGGGAAAGGGGAAGTCTGCCTGGCCCAAAAGGTGCAGGCCTTCAAGGTCAGAGCTCAGGACCCTCCCCAATTCCTTCCTTTGGCAAATTGAGGCTCAAACAGTTCCACTTACAATTTAAGAGGGGGCGTCAAAGAGGTACATCATCATTACTGGGGATGGTTGGCATGGCAGCCATGTGATTCCCACACTGTGGAGGTGGGGGTAGTGCAGGAGCGGCAGGGGCTGGGGGCAGGCTTCTCCTGTGTCCTCAGTGGTCCAACTCCTGCTGTGTCTTGCCCTCTTTGTGCCAGTGGGAAGAAGAGTCCTCCCTACCCCCAAAGCCTCTTGTTTCTGTCTGACAGATGGGTGGGATCACTGAGTCCCCCTTGTTCTCCAGGCTGCTCCAGGGTGCGAGGGCTGCATTCAGGAACAAGGTCTCCCAGGAGGAGCTCATGTCAAGGGTTTGGATCCAACAATTCCTCCCAGACCAAAAAAGAACTGGGAGGTGGGAGGCCGCACTGCTGGGAGGTGCCAGGCCGTCTGTCTACTGGCCATTCGGGAGCTGGGACACCTGGCCCTACCCTAGGGAGTGGATCAGCTCTGGCAGGGAGGTGGCTTGTGCAACGGGTGTGTACCAGGCCCTTTGTACCCTAGATCGTCTTCCCAGGACGACTGCAGGCCAGAGAGCTCCGGGCCCAGGACCCCTGCGGCAGGCCCTCCTCCTGCTGCGGCGGCGGCAGCGGCGGCGGAGTCAGGTCGGTTCCCTGGCAACATCCAGGGAGGAATCTGCGCTCGTTCACTGGCTCCCTTCCGGCCCCCTCCCTGCCGCCTGCCTACGGGGGTTGGAGGCGGAGGCAGCAGCGCAGCCCCGTTATAAAAAGCGACGGTGGCAGCGGCGGCGGACAAGCGGGAGAGGGGGCAGTTCTGAGTCGCTTTGGACAGAGGGGCAGACGCGTGGCCCCAACCTAAGACTCACTCCGCCATGGCTCTCATCGCTGGCCCGTGGCTGCTGTGGCTGGCTGCGTTCTACCATCTCATGATCCTAGTGGCTGGTGAGTGTGGCCGGGATTGGAGCAGCAGAGCTTAGGGGACTGGAGGAGGGGAGCCCCAGCCCCTTCTGCCCCCCAGCACCCCAATACCCCGCCTGGCGAAGGCACAAATCCCTGTGAAAGAGGAAGCCTGGACCCTTCCTTGTCCTAGAGGCGGGAATAGTCTCAGGGGACTGCCCTTGCTGTGTGCAGGGTGCAGGCAGCAAGCAGAGGGGCTGTGGGGTGTACACGGTACCAAGAGTGGGTATGCCAGGATGATGGATGCTGAGGGGGAGAATGACAAGTGGAGGGGTGGAAGGGAAGGAGGACCCAGCTGGTCATGGGCTGGGGCTCCCTACCTTACCCACCCAGGGTTAATGTGTAACCTGCAGCCTTGGCCTTGTTCCAGGTTCGCGCTGGTACTTTCTCTGGCCTGATGGTGAAGCCCTCCGGAGTAAAGGGCCCAAGACCAGTGAAGGTCAAGGTCATTGCAGCTCTTGGGTGGGGTATGGGGGTGCTGTGTGGGTCTGTGGTCACAGTGCCTGAGTGTCCCATCACACACTGCCTTTCTCCTGTTCAGTCATTCGCAGGTAGATCCCAGGACCTGTAGGGCAAGGTCTGTCCATCTGTCCCACCTACTCTGGGGAAGTCAGAAGCCCAAAGAGGTTTAGCTGCTGACCTCAGGGAGCACCAGCCAGCATAAGGCAGGAGAGGGAAGACCCACTGGATGGGCTGCAGCAAGGGGCACACACTCATGCTGACCACCTCCAGGGGTCACACAGTCTCTGTGAACTGCTGGAGTCAGCCTCATCCTCCCTGAGACTGATGCTCAGAAAAGGTGAAACTCAGCCCAGGGCACACAGAGAGGCTGGGAGCACATGAGCAGACCCCAGCTGCGGGAGCATTTCCATGGCCCAGTCTCAACAGGGGGCAGGGAGCAGAAAGGGGAGTGAGTGGGGAGGTAGGGGTAGGGGACCAATGGCTTCAGGCTTCCTTCTTTGGAGGTTTGGGCCATGAGGTTTGGGGCATTTGGGGATAGTGAGCCTTGGAAGACGGAGGAGGGGGGTGTCAGGTGGGGGTTGCTTTGCCACAGCCCTGCAATGTGCTTCTGAGCAGGGTCTTGGTCCCGGATGCTGCACATTTAAATATAGCTGTTGCTTCTCTAGGAGTGTGTGTGTGTATGTGTGTGTGCCTATGTATTCCCATGTATACATATATGTGTTTGTGTGTGTGGTGTGTGCACATGCACGCAGCATTCCACGGTCTCCCAGGGTATTTTGGAAGAGGCAGGAGGAGGGTGTGGGAGGCTCCTATACTAGGCAGGAAGGGTGCCCCAGGCTGGGGGTGCCAGGGTGTCCTGATTAGCAGCCTAGGGCTTCAGGACCCAGGTCCTGGTGTTGTTTGTTGACATTACCAGGAGGCACTGGGCATCATTTCTGTGCCTCAGTTTCTTCTCATTAGGCTTTAAGGGGACCCTGCTCCCCTGGAGCCTCCTACGGAAGTCCTGCGGGAGGCAGGTTGGGGGGCTTCACGGTTGCTGAGAGCTGTGCGTCATTCCCACATGTAGGTCTGTGGGGCTGCTGGGCGGGGCGAAGGCTCCCGTGCTTTATGTAACAAAACCTGCAGATGCAAGTCACAGCCCAGCACTGACGCATGCACACCCACTCAAGTCCCGACAAGAGAGAAAAATTTCTGTTTTAAGTGGCTGGAGTCGGCCCCCTGCTTGGCAGTGGGGGGTGACTGGGGAAGGCAGGGGAGGACAGATTCAGAATGTCAGATCCAGGCCTCACCAAATTTAAATTCAAAGTCCTTCTATCTTCCAGGCATGTACTGGAACACCTAAGGCATGCCAAGCTGGGCTCCAAGAGCTGGGGCCAGACCAGCCCTAGTGGAACCGGAGCTGAGCTGCGGGAGACAGCAATGGGTGCAGTGAACCAGAGAGGGGTTGGAAGAGGAAAGGCACAGGAATGAGAGAAAACAGAGAGCCGAGGAGCAGGTGCCTGACGTCGAGCGACAGCTCTGCTTGATTCTGGCTTCCTGCTAATGGGCCTCCTGGGAGGCAGCAGGTGATATAGCTCAAGGACTTGGGTCCCTCCCTGCCATGGAGGAAACCCAGTTGGAGGACCTGAGTCCAGCCTTGGTGTGGTCTTGTGGGCTTTGGGAGGACGAACCAGTGAGTGACAACTTCTCTCTCTGTCTTCCAAATAAGTATTAAACATTTTTCCCCCTAAAAAAATATGAGAGGGAGAGAGGGACAGGGAGATGCTGGCATTTAGAGAGGGTGGGGCCAGCCTCCCTGTGCAGAGATTGGAGGGGCCCTGAGACGGAGCCCGGGGCAGTAGTCCTCATGCCTCAGGGGTGGTTTTAGCACCCACCTTTCACTCTCCAGGGACCTAAGGCAATTTCTGGAGATGTTATTTTTCATTATATTTGTAAAAAGTCAACTTAATCAACCCATAACATAATCAACCCATTTTATTTATTTTTATTTATTTGTTTACTTGTCATTCTTGCACAGGGGCCATGCTCTTTTTCTCTATATTGTTCCAATTTTAGTATATGTGCTGCCAAAGTGAACATAATCAGCTCATTTTATGGGACCATAAAAAACAGCACACAGATGACCTGGCTTAAAGTCACCCCACAGTGCTCCCTGCTCCCTTCCACCTGGGACACCCAATCCAGGATCTGGCTTTCCCGGTTTCCAAACCCTTTGACAGGTGGAGTCATAGCAAATGTGCTTCAGCTCTCAGCTTCCGGCCCACAGACCATAGATAGGATCCCTCTTCTTCTGTTTCCTGTCTGGTTTTGAGGCCTGGCTAAGCACACCCCTTCCTTGTCTGGATCTTTGTATTTCCCCACCCACCCTGTCCATCAGGTCCCCTCCCTGGCAACTCTGAGGGCTACTCCCCACACCCTTTCTTGCTCTGAAACTCCAACCCCAAGAGGCACACCTGGGGTTCACCAATATCTCCATGATATGCTATACATCTGCGAGATGAATCCTGGCTTGGCCCCACTCCATGCATTCTAGTACGCCTCCGCGGGTTGTTTCTGTGCCCTGGTTTCATACACCAGCCAGGCCCTCTTGTCCCACCACCTCTGCCACCATCACGCCCAATCATCTCTGCCCTCTGTGGAACTGCCTCAAGCTTGCACGAGCCCAGCCTTGTCAGGGTGAGCGGGTGTCCTGCTCCCAAACATGCACGGAGCGTGGCAGAGATTTCCTCAGTGTCTTGGTTTTCTGTGATAGAAAGGGAGGCAGACCCAGCCAGGGTAAGCATGGGGTCCACTGTGCCTCCATCTGCCCAAGCTGTCACCTTGGTAGAGGACAGCCTGGGAGCTAAAGTTACTGCTGCCAAAGCCACTTCTGACTGGTGGCAGGTGACAAGCAGGGTGGGCCTCTGAAAAAGTCTGCAAGGGAGCGATGGGGGTTGTGAAGGGAGGGGTGGGCGGCTAGGAGTCAGGGAGCAGTTATATGGGATGTACCAGGTGGCAAGGAGTGAGGCTCAGAGTACACAGGACAAAGTTGGAGGAGGCAGAGCACCCCGAGTGATCGGCTTGTGGAGTGGAAGCGAACAGCTGGAAAACATGTGGGTTTTTGAATCATGTACAAATAAGATATTGCGTGCGATCAGGCCCTTGGGCAGAGCCAGCTAGTGTGGGAACACGGGTGTTCCCAGGACTACAGACAGGAAGAAATAGTTCATAATCAAAAGAGCAAGACAGAGATCTGAAGTTTGTTTGAGGAGAGTGAGAACGCAGTGGTGCCTCCTCCGAGGGTGTCTTGAGAGTGTTCCCTATCTCCTCCGGGAAAGGCAGGTTCATCCATGACCCAAACATGCCGGCTTCAGAGGACCTCGAAGCAAAGTACTCCTACAGGTGTTTGCTTTTGCCCGGGGTGGTAGGGATGGGGTGGAGCATAGCTGTGAGGATAGGAGGGCTGCCAGGACAGTGGCCCCAGCAGAAGCCCTCAGCTGTGCACAGTTCTGATTGTCACAAGTGACTCCACGTTTTTGCTTTGGTGATGGTTGCTGGCATCTGAGTTGGCAAAACCAAAGGGGGTGCCTAAAGACAGCACAGGACAGTTCTTTGGTCCAAAAGATCTGTGTTGGTTAGATCTGCTTCAGACTTAAGTTTTATAAAAAGATTTATTTATTTGAAAGGCCAAATTACTGAAATAGAAGGAGAAATGGAGAGAGAGAGAGAGAAAGAGGTATCTTCATCTGCTGGTTCACTCCCTAATGTCCTAGGCTGGGCCACACTAAAGCCAGAAACCTAGAACTCCATCCTGATTTCCCACATGGATGAAGGAAGCCAGGCACTTGGGCCATCTCCAGGTGCATTAGCAGGGAGCTTCATGGAAAGTACAGCAGCCAGGATTTGAACTAGAGACTCTATGGGATACCCTATGGGATATACAGGTGGTAGCTTCACTGCCATCTGCCCTGGCTCCAGGCTTTATGCTGAGAGCTGCACCGACATGCACAACAAAGACATATGTGTGGACATGCCAGCATGCTTCACTTCCCAGTACATATGTGTGGACATGCCAATATGCTCCAGACATGTCCTGGAATGTAGAATTTTAACTCAGTTTAGTAGCTTAAACAGTGGAGGTCTAAGAGCCAGAAAAAAACTAGCTACACACGAAGTAACTTTGTGGGCTTGAAGCAATGATTTAGCCTCTCTGATGCCTGGCTTTTGTGCCTACAAAATGGGGGTACCAAGCATTCTCTTTGAATGGATAGTAAGAAATAGTTTTTGTGTTTTTATTGATTTATTTGAAAAGCAGAGAGATAGAAATGGAGAGACAGATTTCTCATTCATTGGTTCATTCCCAAACCTTCCATCAGCCAGGGTAGAGCCAGGCCAAAATCAGAAGCCAGGAGCCCAACTTGGGTCTCTTGACTGGGTGACAGGGATCTGTTTGAGCCATCCCCTGCTGCCACCCAGGGTGCACATTAGCTGGAAACTGGACCTGGAAGCAGAACCAGGACTCAAATGTCAGCAGTGATAACGTACCCGTATCCAAATGCCACACTAAATGCCTGCCTGTCTGCCCTAGATGCTGGCAGTTAATGCAAGCAGGTGACATGGGGTCCAACACAAAGCATATGCTCAACCAAAAAAGAAAACCTCTGCTGCTTTATGCATGTTTTTAGGCTGGGAGCCCTGTGAGGGCACAGCCTAGCCTTGGTCACCCTACTCCCCAGCATAGAGCCTGGGGAGGAGTGGGCCCAGCCTTTGTTGGTTGAATGTATGAATCTGATGACCTGTAGGTTTAGAATAGGGGTGCTCTTAAGAAGTCAACACCAATACCTGTGGGAGGAGAGTTCAAGGTTATGGACAAGAGAGCCTGTGGTCCTTGCATATAACCAGAAGGAATGCAAACAAGTGACCAGGAAATGGAGGGGTGAGTGGGTGAGTGAGATGAAGGGGTGTGGAGGATAGACAGGTGAACAGGTGGGAGAAGTGGATGGATGGGCAAGTAAGTGATTGTGTGCCCACAGGAGCACTGAGAACTGCAAACTTTATGTCTTTCTGTGGACATTGATGGCGTGACCACCTTGGTTTGACGCTGGTAAACACTGTGACACCAAGAAAGATGAGTTCCCCGTTCTCTTGGCACTGGCAGCAGATAACAGATGACTGGCTGGCGGGAGGCAATATCTCCCATTTACAGGAAGGAAAACGGCAGCTGTGAGATGGGAAAGGCCTCTCCTGGGTTAGCTACATAGCCCTCTGGACAGGACCCAGAACTTAAGCCTGGCCACCAACCAGCCCCATGGCAGAGGCAGGGACTTGGGGCCCCGGAGTCCTTGTTGTGGCTCTTACAGCCTTCCCCTCCCTCTCTGTGCAGCGCCCTGTGCCTCCTCCTATCTCAGGAGCATCACGTTTCTGGGGGCACCACGTTTCTGGGGCTTCCCCAGGAAGCCACCTGCTCCTACGCAGGTCCGGGGAAGCAGCTGCTGAGTCATGGCGAGGTCCCCCTGGGGAGGAAGGAGGGCAAACTGTCTGGTGGGGACTTTCATATCCTGCTTCCCCCAGATGGAGGGAAGCCCCAGGAGCCCAAATTGTCCAGCCCAGGCCTGCAGCCCTAACCTACTCAGCCCACAGGGGGTGGGCCAAAGTTACAAGTGATGGAGTGGAGAAGTCGGAGGTGGGGTGGGGAGGGGTCAGGGGAGGTTGGAAAGTGGAGCATGCCAGCACATCCACATGTATGGAGTGGGAAGTGGAGCTTGCTGGCATGTTCACATGCATGTAATGAGAAGTGAATCATGCTGGCATGTCCACATGTATGGAGTGGGAAGTAGAGCTTGCTGGCACATCGACACACAGGTCCTTGTGTGTATGTCGGTGGAGCCCAGCTATCAGCTGGGACCTTGCAGGCCCTGAAATGCTAGCTATAGTTAGTCAGCTTGGTTTCTGGACTCTGTAGGATCTTGCTGCTTCTGCACATGACCTTGACCTAGATCTGAAACTTGAGCTCTTCCTCATTTTTGAACTCACCATGCCTTGAGCTTACCTCAAGCAGAAAAGAATCTGGAAATTTAGGGAGAGGGGGAAGGCAGACACGCAATGCAAACCACCTCAAGTGCTTATACTGAAAGCTCGAGCCGGGTTGCTCCGTCCTGCCCTGGGGTTTCTCTCCAACTGTGCTTGGTCCCCAGCCACCTGCATGCCCGCCATCTCTGTTCCTCCTAATTACTCCAGCAGGTAGCCATGAAGGCACCCTCTGCTCTCAGGCAGAACATAGAAGCTTGCTGCAGTGGCTGTCCAGCTGCCCCCATCTTCCTCAGAAAGCAGTCATGTGTGTAGGTTTCCTATCTGGGGACCCAGCTGCATGGCCGCATACATGTTTATATAGTTCTGTGTGGGACGAATATTCAGGCCCTTATAGTTTAGTTGTGGATATGTGTGTGTGTGTGTGTGTACAGGCACGCCTGTCACAGGCTGGGCATGGGAGCTGTGTAGGGCAGAGGTCTGGATGTATCTCGGAGGTCATAGAAATCCCTGAGCATTTAGGAGGAATGGGGTGTATCCATATTAGGGGGTGATAGGTGACTTAACTGGGGTGAATGCAGGATGGAGGAAGGGTGAGACTGTAGACTGGGAGGGTCTGGGAGCTGGGGTCCTGGGCAGAGTTCCCCAGTGTCAGTCTCATTCTCTTGCTGAATCATGGACCAAGCACAACTTAACTTCCAAAATGCAATACTCCGTGTGTGCCAGACAGAAAGTACTGCAAAAAGAATTCATTTTCATGAATAACATCCTGAGGTCGACCCTTTTTTCCCCTGTTTTATAGGTGGGGAAACTGAGGCACCCAGGGGATTTTGGAGAAGGGGGAGACTGAATCCAGATCCTTAAAGCCAGGGTGTGCAGGACACAGGTCCCTGCTTGGGTGCATTGGGAGAGGGAGGCCAAATGTTGATCAGGGATCTCTTTGGTCACAGGTCAGCACTCCGGTATGAAAAAATGCAGCCATGAGTGCAGAGACAGCAAGATGACCCAGAGGATTCCCTTGAGCCATCTTGCTGGCTACAAGCTTAATGAGAAGTCCTGTGAAAAACATGCCATCATGTGAGTACGGCCTCTGTGACCCTGAACTCAGGCTCAGCACAGCCCAGGGCCTTTTCCAGTCTGCATATACACCTGCCCAGCCCACCTGGGCTCCCAGCCAAAGGCCTGAGCTAGCTTTGCCCCTTGCTCCCAACTTGCAGTCCAGTTGCTGATGTTACTAGCGGTATCATAGGGCTTAGGATGGCAAGTGGCTTCCCGAATGGCCAGGGTGGCTGTGAGGTGGCCACCTTGGCTTATGGCCTGCAGCAACCACAGTAAGGGACAATTCCTACCAGGCTGAAGCACTCTCACATTGATCCTGGACCCAAGTGTTGGGACAGAGTGGTCCAGAATCCCACAGATCTCATGCACGTCCCAGCTTCACCTCTTTCAGGCTGGGTGCCCTGGTTTCCTTGACCATCACACAGCTCAGACGATGAAAGATCATGTTCCTTAGGGGCATGGTGCTGAACAGAGCTCCTGTGAGCAACAGGGGGCACTCTCTTCACTGGACCAATGGCAGAGAAGGAGACAGCACTCACTCCAGACTGTGGGCAGGGATGGGGTTGGGTCATTTTCTATTGGTTATTGGGACCCCTCCAACTCCCCTGGCCCTGCCCTGCCCATCCCGGTTACTTGCTGCTACTGGAGCCTCCGGCCCTGAAGCTTTTCTGCAAAGCTGATTTAGGGGCACTCAGCAGGAAATGGCCAGTGGCCCTGCAGTCTCCCCTATCCCACCACCTCACGGTTTCTGCAAGGGGTAAAATGTGCCAGTGTGCCCCTCCCTGACCTCTCTGCTCACCTGCCCTACCAGTAGGCCTTGCTTTCCCCTGGATACCACTGGCCTCTGCTTTCTTGGGAAACAGAAGCAGAAGTGGGCAGCCTCACAGGGTTGCACTCCCTGCACATGCTGGCTTTCCAGAGCAGGGATATGCACAGCATTCACTCTGCCCCCTGAAGCCTGGTGTGCCACCCCACACAGTAGTGGGGGCAGTTGCCACCTTATAGGGTAGCTGAGAGGGCCAGACAGCAACAGAATGCCAAAGACAGGCCTTGGTGTGGTGTGGAACAAGGGCCCCTCAGCTCAGACTCTTGCTGTGGGAACTAACCAGCTTTGGGGCTTGGTGAGAGAAGGTGCAGAGGGCTCCATATTGGAAAGACACTTGGGGTTGTAACAGGGCCATCCTCTACAGGGCTGGGACCTTACAGGTTGCCCTTTCAGGAGGAGCCAGAGGGCAGCAGTGGTCATGAAATGGAGGGAGGAGTTAGGATTTGGGGACATCCAGACCTTCCCACTGTGGAGTTCACCTGTCGCATGCCTGCTGCTCAGGAGGCTCCCAGCCATGTTGGTAACAAAGTTACCCCCTGCCTCAATGGTAACTATGCACAGATTTTCAGAAGTTTCCCAGAAACACATGCTATGAAAAAAGTATGTATGGATTTGGACAATCTTTTGAGCCCCCATAAACCTTTCATTCCGGTTTCCTATGGACTTTGTTTCCTATGGACAGTTTTGAGGTACTCTCAAGTGCTAGTTAACACCATGATTATTTTTAGCTCTTCCTCTCTCCTATTTTGAACGAAGCTTTTTAGCTAATTTACCTTGGCACTGTAACACTGAAGTAAGGCTACTCATGTGTCCCTGTTTCCGGGGACTTTCCAGTTTCAAATAAGAAGTCCCTCTTCCTGAGACACACCCCCCCAAAGCTGGCATGCTTCCCTGCCCCTAGCTCTCAGGTGAGGCCCCAGGTCCTGAAAACTCAGAGCTGCTCCAGGTGCCCCAGAAGGGAGCGGGCGCAGGATCCGCAGTCAGCAGAGCAGGTGCACAGGCCTGCCTCCGCTGACCCACCCCACCACACTGGCCTGGGTTCCTGGTGTTTGGAGAAGTCATGGAGTTCCTGTCTTCCTTACAGCTTGAAAACGAAGAAAAACAGGACCTTCTGTGCTGACCCTGAGGAACAGTGGGTCCAGGATGTGATGAAAGAACTCGACCGCCAGGCCACTGCTCAGACCCTACACAGCGGCACATTCGAGAAGCAGATCGGCGCTAAGAAGCCAAACATGGGCCTGGGGAAGGCGGGGATCACAGCAGCACCCAGTGGGATACCCGAATCAGCTGCGGTCTCAGAGCCCAGAGCCACAGGGCATGGAGGGAGCCCTGAGCTGCCTCCTTCTACCCAGGAGGCACAGACGGCTGTGGGCACCTCCCCAGCACTGCCCACTGCAGTGCCTGGCTCCTCAGGAACCACAGAGCTTCCAGCAGAGTCTGAAAGCCCTGAGTTTGTCAATACAGCCACTGCCTCCTCTGCTGCTGTCCCTTGGCCGCATTCTACTGCTTTCCAACCTGAGGCCACTGAGGCCCCCTCCATCAAGATGCCATCCACTGATAAATCCTTCACTCAGATCCCAACCACCTCACACCCCACCCCAGAGAAGAACTTTGGACCTGAAAGTCATTCCCTGGAGGTCACCACACAGAGCTCTGGGCCAGAGAACTTTCAGGGTGTCCAAGAGACAGTTCCCATGGTCGCTGACACAGATACCTTCCAGGACTGGGGACCTGGCAGTGTGGGCTATGTGTCCTCGGCAGGGACCCCTAGCAGGGAGCCTGTGGCCTCAGGCAGCTGGGTCCCCAAGGCCGAGGAGCCCATCCATGCCACTGTGGAGCCCCAGAGGCTGGGCGTCCGCATCACTCCCGTCCCTGACACCCAGGAGGCCACCCGAAGGCAGGCGGTTGGGCTGCTAGCCTTCCTTGGCCTCCTCTTCTGCCTGGGTGTGGCCATGTTCGCCTATCAGAGCCTCCAGGGCTGTCCCCGCAAGATGGCAGGAGAGATGGTGGAAGGCCTGCGCTATGTGCCCCGGAGCTGTGGCACCAACTCCTATGTCCTGGTGCCCGTGTGAGCCGCTGCTGCCACCTGCCTGCCCACACCCTCTTATTCCATCCATGAGCTGCCCCCCCCCCCACCTCCCAGGTTCCTACCCCTCCTCCCCCACCTCCCATACAGCCAGGCCTAGGCTGGGATCATCCACAGACTCACAGAGGAGGCTGGTCCTCCCCATGTAAATTGCTCCAATCCCAGGGCTGCCCTTGGCCGTTCTTGACCTCTTGAGGAAAGTAAGGACAACCTCTTACCCCACCCCACCCTGAAATCTGGAAGCTCTCCTCTGCTGCTGGCTGGTTTGAGGTTCCTTCTGACACAGCCTCTGCCCCAACCCCATCGAATGGTTATTTATTGTGCACCAAGCCCCCTCTGGCCAGGGACTCCCCAGGACTCGCCAGGACTGTCAAGGTCCTGCATCTCCCAGGTGAGCCGCGGCCAGGCCCTCTTGCCTGCTCCCTCCCACTCCATCGTGTCTCCTGGTCCTGCTACATGCATCCCTGCCCTTCCCCCCCGCCCCCCTCAGGGCCACCGCGGTGCTATGTCCCCAGAGCCCCACCTGGGGACCAGTCTTGCCTTGCATGAGGCTAGCATGGGGCCTCCGGGGACCACTCCCAGAAGGCACTGTCCTCAGTGAGGCCTCATGGGACATGAAGACCAGGGGACCCAGTGGCTTTGGTGCTCCTCCTCTCTGTCATGCTGCGAGGGCACCTTTACAACAAGGCTGGAGGCTGGCAGGGCCTGACGGTCGCTTGGCGGTGAGACATCTGCATGCCATTCCAGAGTGTCTGTGTCCTGCCTCTAGCCTCCATTCGGCAAGGGCATTCCCTCTGGAATGGGAGGAGGGGTCAGTGGTTATGACCTGAGCGATGATGTCCCTACCTGGGCCCAGACCTCCTTTCTGCAGACCCTAAGGGCAGCCTTGGTATGGATTGCAGCGACACTGCCATGGGGCCTACAACCCAAGGGCATCTGCAGGGGCAGCAGCGGGGAGTGCAAGGCCTGCCCTGTGTTCCCTAAGATGGGAACTTGGCTGGGGTTTTGTGGGAGTTCATTTCTGCCAGGCTCCCAGCCAGCCTCAGTGACTGCCAGACACATGTGTCCTTGGGGAGGCTGGGACTCCTGAGAGGTCCAGAAAAAAGCTCTGGGTGCAGTGACCCTCTCAGCTGCCCTTCTAGGGACTGACTGTAGGTGGTCTGGCTCGCATCCCCTTTGGTCCCCTGCACCCCAGGCTCCTTCCCACGGCCTTGAGTCTCCTCCCACCTTGGTCATCCCTGAAAACACTGTTCGTTGCATTCCAGGATTTCCTCCCCTCCCCCTTTCCCCACTAATGCAGGGCCTGGAATTTCCATGGGTCTATTGCAGGTATGGTCCTGGCCTAGAGCCTGCACATATCCTCCCTCCACCCTGCCAGAGAGGTGGAGGTCGTGGCCATGAAGTTAGCAGGTCCCTCCTTGACTGCGAGAAGGGACCTAAGCTGGCTGCATACCCCGTGGACCAGCCTTGGGACCTTGCAGGTCTCCCCCTTCTGGATCCTGAAGGCAGCTCATCCCTTCCCTCGGATTGTCCCTAACAGTAACCTTTGTTTTCTCATGGGCTGGGCTTTACCCAGGGACCAGTGATACAGTCCCTGGCAGGTGCATGCTCGGAAGAAACCCCAGCTCTACCCCTGACGGGGAGGAAGACCTGTGGTCATGCCCACCTGCTCTTCAGCCTGGCATGAGTGGGATACCCAGGGCCTGGCTCAGGTCACTGATGATGGCTTGGAGGAGACAGCAGGCCTGATGCACTTTGACCCAGCTGTCCCAGGCTGGGAGAGACTGCAAGGACAGGACACCTGGAGATGGAGTCCTTCCTTGCAAGGAAGCTGCTGTGATTTAGTCCTGTAACAGACTTTGTGGGTTCCCAGCAGGCCTGACATGGCCAAGGGTAATCTGGGAAGGACTTTGGAAGGACTTGATTGACCCTTTTGCTCTCCCAACCCTCATCACTAATGTATGTGTGCCATTTTGTATTTTATTAATAAAACTTAAAAGTCTTGTGAATTAAACAAAAAGTGCTTTCTGGGGGATGGGACCATGACAGTGGGGTAGTCCCTCTGGGAGGATGGAGCAAGGGAGGGGCCCTGTCTACAGCCTGCTGAGGGGAGTAAGGAGGGCTGGGTTCCTGGCTCTGTTCTACTCGCCTGTGTCAATAGAGAAATGACACGTTTCCAGGCCTCACGCGATAGCCCAATGGCTAAATCCTTGCCTTGCATGCACCAGGATCCCATATGGGTGCCAATTCATGTCCCAGTTGCTCCACTTCCCATCCAGCTCCCTGCTTGTGGCCTGGGAAAGCAGTAGAGGATGGTCCAAGACCTTGGGTCCCTGCACCCACATGGAAGGCCCAGAAGAAGCTTCAGACCACCTCAGCTCTGGCCATTGCAGCCACTTGGGGAATGAATCAGTGGATGGAAGATCTTTGTTTCTTCTTCTACCTGTAAATCTGTCAGTCCAATAAAAATAAATAAATCTTTTTAAAAAAAAAAAAGAAAGGAAAAGAAGAAGAAAAAGGAAGAAATGAAACATTTCCCAGCAGCTGGCATTTCTGGCAGGATTCAGAGTCCCTTGGGAAGGTCTACCTCATGCCCAGTGAGCCACTATTCCAGGGGCCTACAGGGCCACAAGCTTGTGACTCAGGGGACAAGCGGGGTCCAACTTCTTGTCGCTGCCTTGCATCACTCCTGTCTCAGACTGAGGCAAAGAGCAGTGACTGCTTCCCAAGGTTCACAGATGGGACCATAAGTCTTCCAGGGTCCTGGGGTGGCATCACAACCATGGCTTCATCCAGTTGTGCAAATTGGACACTGCACAAGGATGTCACAGGTCAAGTTCAGTTTATCAGATTTAGTTGAATTTAGTTCCCAGATTCAGATGCACATTTTTTATGCTACCATGTGCTTTGAAATGGGAATCTATTTTGCAATTGTTGGTTTGTTGGAGTCTGATGGGCAGGATCTTTATTAGTTTACTACTTGTCAGAATATCTTGCCATCAATAATGTCAGTGTCTAGCTGGGGTTTTTAAAAATGAGAGGCAACATTTTCACAGCAGGACATTGCCCCATCAACTCACTGTCCTATATTCTTGCAGAAGAATGCTCAGAAGTGCTGACCCCATAGGCAACATTCCCTCAGGACGACAGCAAGTAGACCTCAGTGACAGCTGCTCCTTGAGCTGGGGCAGGACCGGAGAGGGCCCTATGTCCTTCTGTCCCCTCTGCCTGCATCGTGGTTTCCTGAGAGCTCAGCCCAGCAAAGTCCCCAGCGAAAGTAGGCCATAGAGAGGAGTGAGTGTTTGGCTTGGCAGTGGGCAAGCCACCGTATGGGACATCTGCAAGCCATTTCAGAGCGCCTGAGTAGGGGGTCTTGGCTGGGTTTCCAACTCCAGCTTCCTGCTATTGCACACCCTGGGAGGCAGCAGGGTTTTTGGCTCAAGTTCCTGCCATGCTTGTGGGAGACTTTGGATTAAGTTCTGGGTTCCTGGCTTCAGTCTAGCCTGGCTTAGGCTGCGTGGGAATTTGGAAAGTGAATCAGCAAATAGGAGATCTCTTTGTGTGTCTCTGCCTTGCAGAAAACAAATAGCAAAAAGGTGCGTTGAGACAGGCACAGGGCTTTTTTTTTTCCTGTCACGCCCTGCTCATCTCCCGCTCCCAAGCTGTTCGCCACCCTAGAGTTCTGAGGGGCTCAGTTCCTGCAGGAATTGCTACAGCTGCCCCCACCTCCCCTGTGCCATGAGCTCTTACACTCCCTGCTCCCAAAACCACTCTGCCACTGCTTTGCCACCTGTTCCCACCCCCAGGGAGGAGCTCTTCCCCCTACACACACACAGTGACCACTCCCTCATTCCCTCTCTATTAGCAGTTTGCCAAGACCTTTCAAGGAAAGGTGCACTTGTCCCAGCAACTGGATTGGTAGGTGCGGGGAGAAGGTTTCGTCCCGTGAGCTTGTGGTATTTCGTGCTGCCTTTTCTCTCTGTTACAGCTGAAGGCATTTACAGAAGCGATTCCCACCGTTAGTGCATAAGGTGAATGGGGTCGTGAGGATGTAACATTAGCTTTGCTACTGCAGATACGACAGCCACTGTTCATTCCATCCTTTCTATGTACTACACAAAATGTAGACTTTTTAAAAGATCTTAAAAATTTTATTCACTGAAAAGGCATTTACAGAGAGAGTGAGGAGAAGGAAAAAAAAGTGAGGAGCTGGCACCCATATGAGATCATGCTGCACATAAAGCAAGGACTTTGGCCACTAAGCTACCACGCTTGGTCCCCTGTCTGGTGACTTTTTTTTTTTTTTGTCTTATCTCTAACAGGCTAAGCAAGATTACAATTATGGCCTTCTGATGGGTTTCATCTCCTCCCTTTTGTTGATTGTTAGCTGTTACTCTGCTCACCCTAATTGTGCTTATAAGATATCACCCCCACTGTTGTCCCGGGTCTTTCCTTGCTTGAAGCCTCCCTGCTGGTCCTGCTTCGGTGGGAGTTTTCTAAGTTGTGAATAAACACCACTTGGCTCCCTGTTTTGTCTGGACCAGAGTCCTTCTTTGGTGGCAGAGAAGGACCCAGGTCACCTCCTTTGCATTGTTTTCCCTGTAACCAAGGACACTGGGAGCAACTTGAGACTTCGTCACCTCTGCCCTTCGCCCTTCTCCTCAGCCACCCCGGGTCCTGTGTACATTCCCCACTGGGGTGAGGCTGGGCCGGAAAACAGAGAATTGAATGGCTGGGAATTTCCAAGCTTCAGGCTGAATACTAAGCATCTAGCAGGTTTGTGTGTGTGTGTGTTGTATGTGTTTCTCTGTGTGAATATTGTGTTATTGTGTGTTTCTGTGTATATATTGGTGTGTATTGTGTGTTTCTGTGTGTTCTGTTTCTTTCTGTGTGTATTGTGTGTATATGTGTGTGTTTCTCTGTGTTTCTGTGTATTATGTGTGTATGTTTCTATGTGTTTCTGTGTGTGTATTGTGTGCTTCTGTG